ATAAATTCTTTGGTTACTCTCTCCCCCTCCACCCACCCGCCCTCCTCCATCCCTCTGACATTCATCAGTCTCATCTATGCCTCCATGTCATTGAATCTATTCTGTTCATCAGTTTATTAAGTTCTTTAGATTCCACGTATAAGTGAGATCATGTGATGTTTGTCTTTCTCTGCCTGGCTTATTTCACTCAGCATAATAATCTCCAGGTCCATCCATACTGTCCCAAAGGGTACGAGGTCCTTCTTCTTTACAGCTGCGTAGTATCCATGGTGTGAATGCCCCACAGCTTTGTTATCCACTCATCTCCTGAGGGGCACTTGGTGCAGTCACTGTGGGAAACAGTATGGAGGTTCCTCAAAACATTAGAAATGGAGCTGCCTTTTGACCCAGGGATCCCACTCCTAGGAATGTATCCTAAGAACCTGAAACACTGATCAGAAAGAATATATGCCCCCGATGTTCGTAGCAGCACAGTTTACAACAGCTAAGATCTCATAGGTTTTTAAACGGATCTGAAAACCTCCAAGGGATCACATCTGAGCTGCAGGTTTAAACTGAAGCAAGTGGACACTGGGCCTGGTGCTGGATGGTAACTAACCGCGGCTTGGTGTTTCAGGTTGGGATTGTACAATACGGGGAAAACGTGACCCACGAGTTCAACCTCAACACCTACTCATCCACGGAAGACGTTCTCGTGGCCGCGAATAAAATAGTCCAGAGGGGCGGCCGCCAGACGATGACAGCGCTTGGGATAGACACAGCAAGGTACCCAGTTAAAAAGCGGCCAGAGCCGGCGTCTGTACAGGAATAACTGTCCAGGGCCCCGCCGCCGGGAGTGAACGCTTTCCCTGGCGATGTCCAACGCCACCTTGGCTGATGCGGGACTGGGCCCTTCAGCTCATCGTTACGGATTCGGGCTTTGCTCTAATACAGTCTCAACAGTCTTCTTCTCTTTCCTTTCATTCCAAGGGTTTAATTGATGGAAAATTGATCAAAAATCCCAGTAGTCTACTGAACCGTGTCTTTGGGCACTAAAACATAACACAAGTGACCCTCTCCCCTTTACCCTTTGTTCCCAGCCCCTAGGGTAATGTTTCGCGCTCTTCTGCTCCATGTATATGCGTATTCTGGTATGTCTGTGATTTTCTGGTGCNCCAGCCCCTAGGGTAATGTTTCGCGCTCTTCTGCTCCATGTATATGCGTATTCTGGTATGTCTGTGATTTTCCGGTGCCCGCTTGGGGCCTATGGAAGCTCTCAAATAGGAGTTTCTAAGAGGCAGAAGTCAGCATTGCCTCGTTTGGGATCATTCTCCGTGCGAGACTGAAAGAAGTGGAACGGACGTCATGTTCGCCACGCTCTCTCCTCCTCTCTTACTTTCTCCAAACTCCCTCCGGCTTCCATCCCTGCCTCACACCCCCTCCCGCCCGGAGAGCTCGTAACCTGCTCTGGGGCGAACCGCCTCCTGAAGAGCCCACAGAGCCGCCCTTCCTCGCAATGCAGAGCCTTGTCTTTTCTGTATTTTCCCACCTCCTTCCGCTCTCACCTCTCGCTGTTTCTCACCCGAGGCACCCTCTGAGCGCATAAGCTTCTGAACAATCAGTAAACAGGAGCAAAACCACTGGGAAGCTGACAAGTCGTTAGACGAATGTTGGTTACCTTCTGCCTTCAACTTCTGGGCTCTCCCTGACTCTGCAGAGCTAAGCGCCCCTGCTGTCCCTTTGCCCGACTGCTAAGATTAGTGTTTAAAGGGGATTAAAAGAGTTACTATGGATACTCCAAAGAATATTGGATATTCAAAAATTTTTAATTTCATGTGCAGCTTTAGACTCACTGATGCTAGAAAAGCATGTGGTTCTAGTTACATGGGGCCCAAGAGAAACTAACCACACACAGCCAGGGAGCCAGTGCGGTTACCTCCCCGACCCGCAGGGCGCAGGCGCAGGGCGTGTGGCTCTGTGTACTGACTGCCCCTCGAAGTGCTGGCCGAGTGTGACCGCACCTGCGAGCCCATCACAGCGCCTTTGAAAGCTCCGGGCCTCTGGGGAGCTGTGCATTTCCCAGAGGCAGCCGCCGGGAGTGAATATGCATCTTTGAAATCTAACTGAAGCACTGTTCTGGCCGGGCTGGCTGCTGCATAAATACCATGTCCCTATATGGGGCTTGCCCGGGTGGCTCGCGGAGGGGAGGGTCCAGCTGCGGGACACAGGGAGTACTGAGTTTTGTATATAAATAGAACTCCACGTGATACGACTAAGTAGTCTTCTTGTCCGTTAGCTTTTCATGTGTAACCGTATTTTTAATTGCTATGTATTGCTTTCAGGCAGGGCCAGTTTCAAACACTATTTTATTTTTTTTAGAATCCTTTACTTCCATGTTCAGTGTCTCCCAGTTCAAAATATGTCTGTTGTCCCCTTATGCTTGCCCCAAATTTCCTTTCTTTTCGATAAGTTCACACCTTTACTCGTAAGAACTGGATCCTCCTATCCCAATGAGAGGGATTCTCCGGGATGTTTTCATGTTTAAACACACGCAGGGAGGTCAACGTTTAATTTAAAGAAAGGATACTGGACGGTGATGTTGGGGGATAAGGGCAATTCACTGGAGATACTTGAATCAGGAGGGTGTGCCCGGGAGTCGGCCGGAGGCTACTCCACGCTACAGAGGACGAGCGCTGGTCTCAAGCCACCAGATGTTCGTCCAGGGAGGTCTGCTGGTCATCTCCCTCGGCCGGGGTTAGCTCAGCTACGGCCTGGATCTTCTAGAGAATTAGGAAGTTGGGTGATCCCCGAAGGAATTAGAACTGTAAAGAGGACTGAGTTCCATGATATTTCTATCTGAATACTATTCTATTTAAATACTAGCCTTTCAAATCTCTTTTCACCTTTGCCTGGGCATGTAAAGGAGTCAGAAAGTCTATTTGTATAGTGTGGATGGCGGAGATACACAGGTCCCCAATGGTCAGTCTTTTTTTCATATTATTTTCTTTTGATAATTTTAGGAAAAAATGAAAATGTAAAAATAATGCAGCAAAATGCTATGTATAAATCGAACAGATTCAAGATGGATGTTAATATCTTGGCTTTAAGCCCTTTTTTTTAAAGTCTTTTTAAAAAAAGTTGGTTTCAGAGAGAGGAAGGGAGAGGGAGAGAGAGAAACATCAATGATGAGGGAAAATCATCAGGTGGCTGCCTCCCACAGGCCCCCTGCTGGGGATGAGCCCACAACCCCGGCCTGTGCCCTGACTGGGCATCGAACCCTGAGCTCCTGGATCCTAGGTCGATGCTCAGCCGCTGAGCCACACTGGCCAGTCAGCTTTAAGCCATTGTAAAGGAAAAATTATCACAAAAACAACCCCGTCTTTATTCCTACGTCCGAGAGCCCCTTTGCGTACATCACCAGGATCCTGTCTCCCTGCTCAGCAAGTACGGCTCCTGCGCATTCTCTGCGCATCTGCCCAGCGCTAGTGTACTTTGTGCAAACCGTTCCGAAGGCTGGCTTTAGGGGGATGTTTATTTGGCATAACCCGGACTCCAGCTGCCCTTCCTCATGACCAAGTAGAATATGTAAATGGACCATTCAGTGTGATGATCGCTGCCTTTAATACCAAAAGATGAGAAATATCGCATAAATCCTTTTATTATTTCAGACCTAAGTAGAATGTACTCGTCTCTTCCAAGACCCAGGAGAGGAAAGTGAGTTGAATAAAAGAAGGTAATAGAGCCTGGCCAGTGTGGCTCAGTGGTTGGGTGTCCACCCCAAGAGGTCACGGGTTTGATCCCCAGTTGGGGCTCATGCCCGGGTTGTGGGTTCGATCCCCAGTCAGGGGCCTGCAGGAGGCAGCCGATCAATGACTCTCATCATTGATGTTTCTGCCTCTCTTCCTCTCCCTTCCTCTCTCTGAAATCAATAAACACATTTTTTTTAAAGAAAAGAAAGTGACAGAGAGGGGGAATGTGTGTGTGTAGAAGACACAGAACAAAAGACATTGTCCATTTCCCCATCTTTTATCTCACTCCACAAATGCCTGTTGAATCACATCAAAATCCGTTTCTTTGCCCGTCGGTTAAAGCATTTTCCTTTCTCTCGAGCTACCTTTTCCACCCCACCCCCAGCAGCCTGTGTCCTAAGACCCAATTCAGGCCAAATCTTTCACAGCTGCCCCCTCCTTCCCTGGCCCTGCCACTGGGACCACCGCCATCTGCAACTTTTATTCCTACATCCGATTCCACCCCCCACACCCAAGAGCGCCCCCAGGCACAGCCGCCCAGACACCCCTTCCTTCCACCTCCCCCCCAGCCCAGCGCACCTGCCAGCTGTCTAAGCAGGTGGGGGGGGGCCTAGAGCAAGAGCTTCGGCCAAAAGCCAGGAAGGGGCCTGTGGAGCGAGGGAAGGGGCCGAGTTTATGGAGCAAGGAGAGTGTTTCAGACCTGACCTTCTCTAAGTCTGGGGTCTGCTCCCGTCACACCCGCCCTCCGAAGTGTCCGCGGGGTGAAACGGTGCCGCCTTTTGTACCCGGGATGCACGGGGATCAGCAGACGGTGCTCCCCAAGGCCTAGAATAAATCTCAACCTGGTGCAAACACTGGCCACCGTGCCTCCCTCTCGAACAGGGGGCGTCAGCGTGGACCTCGGAGGGAGCACGGGGCTCCCCGGGTGCGTTTCCCCTTTGGTTGTGGCTCTGCCTCACCTTGGGCGGCGTTTCATTCGCTTCTCCTTTGCCTGCGATCCTTTCAGGAAAGAGGCGTTCACGGAGGCCCGGGGCGCCCGGAGGGGCGTCAAGAAGGTGATGGTGATAGTGACCGACGGGGAGTCCCACGACAACCACCGGCTGCAGCAGGTCATCCAGGACTGCGAGGGCGATGGCATCCAGCGGTTTTCCATAGCTGTACGTACCGGCTGGGGGCTCAGGCTCGGGCGTGGGGGGAGCGCTGTCACCTGGGGTATCCGCTGAAGGTCACGGAAACAAGGGCGAGACAGGAAACTTCTCCACCTGGAGGCGAACCTGTGCAGGCAGGATGGCCGGTCCCTTGTGTCCTCGGTGCCGGCACAGTGCCAGGCCAGAGACTCTGCAGCCGCCGAGGCAGAGGAAGGGGGCCGAGGAGAGGGGGAAGGAGGGAGAGCGGAAGGAAGGGGCCTGGCGTCAGGCTGGGCAACGGGTAGGCCCTGCCTGCTCACCGATGATCCTTCCTGTAGCCTGGGAGGGCGGAAAGTCAGGGCCTGAGTCTCGTTATCACCTGAAAGTCAGTCCACCGTGATCTGCCCACACCCACAGCCTTTGAGGTGCAGGAAGGAGGCATCACCTAACCCTTGTCTCCCCTGGACGGTGTGCCCGGGGCGTAGGGGAACTGCCCCGCCACGGTCAGGCTTTCTTAGGGGTCCGCAGCTGTGGGTGCTCCTCTGCGCACCCGCCTCTCGGGTGGCTGGGAATGGGGAGCACTCGGGACATGCGTGTCGTTGCCTGAAGCCTCTGCGCAGAGCCAGGTCCACTCCATTTACCTCCCCGCCCGTGCAGCCAACGTGGAGCTGCAGCAGCTGCGAAGTATGTCTCCCTGCCAGTGCGTTTAAGCTGCACACGAAGAGCAAAGGGCGGGCGAAGGAGCCGTTCCCATCGGGGCACCTGTGCCAGCCAGAGCCCTCCGCTGTCGGCAAACAGCGCGTCTCTCAGAACGCCGGGGAGAGGCTGTCTCAGTGCTTTCTACCTCTGATGAGTGATTTTTTTTCCTAAATCAACTTCTGATCGTTCTGGGACATCAGTTGACTTTGTCTTCATGGTTCCCCCCCATGGAGAGGGACATTTGGGAAAAGAGACTTTTAGACGTGGAGAATCATTTACACCCCTGCTTGCCTAGCGCTCTGTGACTTACAGGGCTCCTTTGTTTGTTTCTGTCTGTCCCGACCTCCCTTGTTCCCCGGGGCTCCCCGAGGAGGGTAGCTTTCCTTCCCCCATCCTCTGAACGAGGAAACCGAGGGGCAGCGGGGCCCATGGCTGTGAGCCAAGTCTAAGGACTCCCCCCACCCGCACCCCCTGACTCATCACATGACCCGCTGCCCTGGCTTCCCTTCCCCAGGCCCCAGTGTCCCTTTGCGGCCGCCCAGCCGTCGGGGTGGAGCTCCGGGTCCTCGCCTGTCCCACGCACGCCCTCAGCCCCCCAGAGGGCACCCCAGCCTCTCCACCTCCCCAGGCGTCGTGCCAGAGAGAGAAGCCAGCGTAGAGACAGGAAGCCTGCGCCAGCCTCACATCGGTCGCGACCTGAGCAACGAAGGGCTCGCGGCGTTTTCAGATGCGCTGAGCGGAAGGGTGGGGTGGGGACAGGCAGAAAGACGCTTGTTCAGATTCAGCCCGCGGTGGTGGTAAGGCGTCGCCGCTCTGAGCTCCGGCTTCCAGGCCTGTAGATCGGGGGACCATTGGTTCCCTCCCCGCCGGTCTCAGGTGAAGAATCAGTGAGGTGAGGCCTGCGAGGGCATCTAGGGCAGGGCAGGCGGGCAGCGAGCGCTGCTCTTTCTGAAGGACCTTTGTCTCAAGGCGTTTGCAGCCACGAGGTAGTAAAATCGCCGTGCTTGAGAGCTAGAAGGATCTTAGAGATAAGATCAGAAACCTGCAGAGACTCCCCCACAGGCGGTAAAATCCACCCACAGGTTGAGAAACCTCAGCAAGCGATCCGCCTTCCTCCTGACCCTTCACTGGGCTGCAAACAGGGACAACCGTCGGCTGAGACATTTCCCTTTGCATCTGGAGTACGGGATAGAAGCATGAATGCGTCAGTTTCTCTCTTTGCCTTTGCCGTTACTTCTATCAGTTACCTTCTGCCAGGTATTGATCAGTTCGTTCTAACCTCTGGCGCTGTAACCACTCATCCTCTTGCGTGGCTGAGACTGATTCCACGCGGCCCGGGCTTCCCGCTGTGGGGTACCGTCCGCAGTTAGAGCCCGTGGCTGGTCTCCTGCATGCCAGCCAGGGCGTGCCCACTGCCCCAGACACCTGGGTACCATCGGGCACCATCGGCTCGGCTTCCCGCAGAGGACAGGCTAGCATCCCAGGTGTCAGGGGCAGCCCGTGGCTGAATTAACCATCAGCAGCATTATTAGCACGTTAGGAAACCGTCACTGGAAAGAAAGTACCTATCAGTGACGACTTCTTAATCAAGCGACCCTTCTGTCGCTTTTACATTGTATCTGGCTACATGCCCGGTGTTTCTTGCCCCTGAATCACTATGTTTCCCTTCGTTGGGTCCCTAGTTCGTAATTCATACTTTGTCTCCCATCTGGTCACAAAGAGGCCTTATACTTGCATTAATCTCCCTGGAGAACCATAAAATCATGAGTTCCTTTCCCACGTGAATCAGGGAATTACCTTTTATCAAACTCCCCTTCAAAATGGTATAAGTAAAAACGTATAAGGAAATCTCACTGTAGCAATAACAGCTCGTCGTTTTCCCAGTTCATACTTCCTTCCCCAGTGAATCCCGTACTGTTTCGGTTTGCGGCAAACTAGGAAATAAGACAGCGACATAGGTGTCCTTCCTCTCTGTGCATCCCCACGGGTTTCTCCAGGTTCACCCGGGCTGCTTGTGGTCAGGTCCACCTGGGGACTGGCCCGATATCTGCTGGAACGCTCCCCTCGCTCCATCTTTTCTGACCCACCATTTGATCCTGAACACCATAGAGATGTGTGTTTTTTTGGCGGGGGAGACAGCACCCAAAAAGGACTGGCTACGAAAATAGAAGCCCTGTGATAAAACCGCAAACATTAATCCCTCAGGTTGGGCGCGGGTCCTGAGCGGAGAGCCCCCCATCCCTGGGCTCTGCTCTGTCTCCTGAAGCCATTAGGCATCTCTAGCAAGAGCCTGCTTTAGGTTCAGATTCTAGTCTTAACTGATGGATGGGACTCTAACGGCTGTGAAACTATCACCTACAGCATTCAGATGAAAGTTAGAGAAGTTAGAAATATCTTAGAATTCCACTCGTCTGCACTCAAAATGCAGTCGCCGTGCTCCGTGTGCGTGAATTGGACGCTGCGCATCTGAGACACCTGCCTGGGGGACCTGCAGTTCTAGCAGCTTTACGCATAATCACTCGAAGCTGAAAACAACCCACATGTCCTCAGCAAATAAATTGTGGTGAAGCCATGCCGGGGAAAGGATTCAGCAATAAAAAGGGCTGAACTTCTGACACAGGAGGCAGCGTGGATGGCGGGCTGTCGAAAGCATTATGCAAAATAAAAGAAGCCAGACACACAAGACTACATACTGTTGATTCCTTAAATGTGACGTCCTGGAAAAGGCACATTTCTGTAAGGACAGAAAATAGATCCGTGTTTGTGAGGGGTCGGGGGGAGGGGGGTTGGCTACAAAGGAGCAAGAGGGAACTTTGGGGGCGACGGAAATACTCCGTGTCTCGATGCGGCGGCGACACATGGTGTAGGCTTGTCAAAACCCAGAACTGTATATCTAAAAAGGGTGAACTTTACTCTATATAAGTTAAATCTTACTTTAAAAAGGAATCTTACTTTACGATAAACCTTACTTTAAAAAGTAAACTAAGTGTCCAAGAAGACCTTCTAGGACATCTAAATAATTATAGTTAACGATAACAGATCATTCCTCTGTAAAAAAGAATGTCCCTGTCTTGAGCATTTGGTTTCAAACAGGAAGTCTCACTTGTTTAGTTTCCAGGCTGCCAAGTTAGCTTGCTTCTAGTCCAGGATCTGTTTAAAATATATACGGATCGGACGGCCCCTGGGTAAGATTTTCAGGAAGAACTGCCTGGGCAGGATCAAGCATCTCATTAGTTAACTGCTTTGCCAGCAAATGGTGCTGCCACTGGCTAGAATAATACCAGAGACGTTCAGAAACTGCCACATGACTTTTGAGCTGTCAGAATTTCATGTGCACCTGTTAATAACCAGGTACACAGGAGTGCAAGAGAAGAGACTTTCGCGGGCGTACAGGTTGTCCTTAAAGTTTCTTACCCCGATCACAGTATGAAACAGTTAACGTTAAGGTAACTACGAATCCTGATAACTACTCTCCCGAGAAGGTCCAAGTACATAAAACTGCATTATGCTCAGATACTGAACAATCTCTAGTTTGCCAGCAAGATGCTTGAGATCCTTTTTTGATTCAGAGAATTTAAACTGTATTCTTGCTGTTTCCGCTGTGTCTTAGATCCTTGGCAGCTATAACCGAGGAAACTTAAGCACGGAAAAATTTGTGGAGGAGATAAAATCCATCGCCAGCCAGCCCACTGAAAAACACTTCTTCAACGTGTCCGATGAGCTGGCTCTGGTCACGATTGTCAAGGCCCTGGGGGAGAGAATATTCACCCTGGAAGGTAGGCGAGGGGGCTGTGCTCCTGATTCCACGCGTGCTCTCTGCAGCCCAAGCTCGCTGTGGTGGGGTTTCGGTATCCATTCCTGCCACGTGGTTAGTGGATTTCACTGTGCGCAGTAGCCAGTGTGGAACAGTGTCCCTTTCTATACTCTGCCGTTGAGTAGACGGCAGCGTCACACAGGCCCTGTCTGCTGGGCGCTGTCTCTCTGGGAGGACAGGCGGTGCTGACCTGAGCGCCGAGAGGACAGCGGTCAGTGGGGACGCACGGGAACAGAACTGTGGCTGTGTGTTCATATCTTTTCTGTGACACATGTTTAGAGAATGGAGACGCTAGCCCAAGTTTTGTTTTTTTCATTTGTTTCATGTTGGGCTTCTAGAGGACTGTTCTTGTGCAGTAACTTCTTTTTAAAAAACAAAACAAAACAAAACAAAAAACAGTTCTTTTTTTAATGCTTCTGTTGAATTTTAGAGAGGAATAGAGAGAGTGAAACATTGAGGAGAGAGAGTCATTGATCGGCTGCCTCCTGCACGCCCCTGACTGGGGATGGAGCCCATAACCCAGACATGTGCCTGGCCTGGAATTGATCGGTGACCTCTTGGTTCCTGGGTCAGTGCTCAACCACTGAGCCACACTGACCGGGCTGTGGACAAGCCATTTTTAAGCGGCTTTGGTCTCGCAGCAGCCATCCACTGTCATTTATTCACAGGACGGATCACGAGCTTAGCTCTCCTTAAGAAAATGAGTTAGGTTTCCAAGTCCTTGTGCACTTTTAATTTTTTAATTTTTAATTAACATCGGCCAAGATATGATAGGAGCAATCTGTAAAGACCATGTAAAAGAAAAATTACTGGGTTACATGAGATAGTTAAACACAATACAGTCTCATTTCTCATCTCATCTCATGAAGCCAGTAAACATAACCGAAGGCTTGCAGGAATGAAGCCTGGACCGGCTGTTGGGTGGAGAAGGGATCATTTTTCCTTAAGTGACATTTGCAGATGGTTTCTGACCTGGGCACACCGTGAGTTAAAGGCTGCACACTGCAGTGCCCAGACACTCCAAGAGTCTCTACATTTAGGAACGAAATTATTTTACAAGGAACTCTTCAGGTTAAAAGTGTCTCCCACACCTGTGTGGCTACCAAAAGAGGGTTTTGACTAGCCTATGTCTGGCTCTCTTTCCTAATGAGACCAGAAAGGGCTTCATTCCCTTGTTGACTTGGGAAATCTCCGTTTCCCTTCAACACTTACCTTTAGGTAGGAAACAGCAACTGTGAAATTCCTACTTGCCGAGCACAGCGCCACCTGGTGACGGGAGGGTGCCGGCAGCCTGCCCGATGAAATCTGCAACCGGCCTGAGGTCTCCCTTTCCCACCAGACTTTGGGAGAAAGGCAGAATTCCCTAACCCAAGGCTGCGCGGTGGTGAGAGGGGCTATCTCACACCCTGACAGCCCGGGAGGAGCTGGCGGCCGGAGGCTCAGGGATGGACAAGGGGCTCTTCCCGTAATGCCCCTCCAGCGGGCAGACGGCAGAGCTTCCTGCCCTCTGTTCTCAGCCGCCGGCAGCCCCGGAGGGTGGTGGAGACACGCAGGTCTCTCTGCTGCACTTACAGTTGATGTGGCAGCGATAAACCAGACAGCGCCCTCACGTACTGTGGACTTAAAGGTTTCGGTTAAAGTTAGAGTGCATCTCGGTCAGTTAGATCAGAGGGTAATGCGTGAGATGAAAATGATCATCTGAATTCTTGATTGATTTCCCATTGACTCTGGTCCTGTAAAAAGGCGGCTGCTGATGAACTCGTTAACAAATCTGTGCCAGGAAATAACTAGTAAGGGAGTCTGACTCCAGAAATTTCATTGTTCTCATTCCTCCATGAAGAGGCAAACTGACATTCTTAAAATATGCTCTATTTTTAACTTATCTGCAAGGCCAAGGAAATCAGGAACTCCCCATGGAAAGCCAATAAATCAGCATTTCCTCAGTCCCCTCGGAGGCTGGGGCTGTTTGGGGAGCAGCACATTTCCATGCAGTGCTCAGGATTATCTCTGCACTTTAGTAAAGACCTTCAGAATGGGCACAGGATCGTAAATGTGTGTGTGTGTGTGAGATCGAGTGGCACATGGCCTGGAGCCCTGTCAGAAGGCCCCCTCCTGACCTGCGAGTGATACCCACAGCCGGAAATTAGAGCAAATACGAACCCAGAATCCCCACCCCCTTCATCAAGCAATGGGATTCTGAGAGGGTCTCTAGCCAGACATACAGGTTAAAATGTGAATGACATTTTCACAGCCCTGGAAGTATCAGGTTAGTTCAGCCTGATGTCTCAGCAGAATTCCTGGGGCGACAGGATGAGACAGGGGTTTCCCACTACGGGACTTTCGGCTTTACCTGGTGGGTATAAAGCACGGTGGGACCTGTTGGCAGCTAATGGGTATGGACACAGTGTGAATGGAGATTCCCACCAACTGCAGGGAGGTGAGACAGCCCTCCTGCAAATGTGCCCTCTCCCCAGCCCTGCCCAGGAACTTCAGACGGTGAGATGGGGCTCGAAAATGCCTCAAAGGTGTTGAAGTTCTGCTTGGTAAAGACCACAGGCTGCAGGGGTCTCCGTCTTCTGCAGATGGGCAGGGTGCTAACGGGCCTTTCTCTTCCTGTCCCAGCCACAGCCGACCAGTCCGCGGCCTCCTTTGAGATGGAGATGTCACAGACCGGCTTCAGTGCTCACTACTCCCAGGTATGTCGACCACCTGTAAACAAAATGGCTTTTTTAAATTTTCTTTCAAGAAAATAAAAGCTACTTCAAGAATGTGTTTCAAGAATATAAATTTTTTTTGAGGTTTCCTCCCCAAACCAGTCCCCAGCCATCCGCATTACAAGCGCGACTTGCGGTTGGTGGCCTGGATGGCCATTCAGACCGTGAGGACGTTTCTAACCCAAACAGGAGGACGGCATTCACAGCCTCTTATAGGAAAACACGTGCTCTCCCGCAGCTCACTACATGCTTCTTAATAACTGTGAATCCGTGCGAGGTCCCCCTTACGTAGTTATACATCCGGCCACGTGAAATACTTAATTTAAAATATTTGCTAAGGAGAAGGAATGTGTCTTTTTGTCAGTGTTGAGATAGTCAGGGTTTTACGAGAATTCCACGCTCGTGACGTAGGGTTCTTGGCACCCATGGCACAGCATCAGGAAATGTATCCTTTGTAGCTGATGGAGAAAAGGCAGCCTGGTCCCCGCACAGCGTGTTGACATTTCAGCGTGCGACTGTGCCACAGGGAACCTCGGGCAAGCCTGCTGCCCTGAAGATGGAGATGGCGGTGACGGCGGCTGGCCCACGCGGCCGTCGGAGGACCGCGTGGGTTAACGGGTGTACGGCGCGTGGAAGAGGGCCCCTCGCGTTGCTAATGTTTTCTCTTTTCCGATGCCAGGACTGGGTCATGCTCGGGGCAGTCGGAGCCTACGACTGGAATGGAACTGTCGTCATGCAGAAGGGGAGTCAGATCCTAATCCCCCAAAACACAACCTTCAACGTGGAGTCCACCACAAAGAACGAGCCCCTCGCTTCCTATTTAGGTAAAGTGGGGATGTAATTAGTAGAAAGCTCCTGGGCTTTGATTCTGTGTTGTTTTAGCTTTAGTATCATTTGCTTAGGTTTATATTGGCTCACTTACAACTATGCAGGGTGGCTTTCAGGGGTCGCTATTTTGCAGGACCTGTGAGAGTCCCTGGTCTCCGAGCAGCCGAACACAAAGCCGTTCTTTCTCAGAAGGCTGCCCAGCGCAGGCGTGATTGAGCCTCGCGTGTGCACTTTTCGAGGTCTCCTGTGTCTGGTGCTCTCATTAACGTCAAGGAGAGCTTGGGACCCGGCGGACAGGAAACGAGGCTAGAAAAAGAAACCTTGACCCAGCCGATATCCCGAAGACCAGACTCCCGTTTTATTTTGTTGTGAGAAAACCACTCAACATAACTACTCTTTTAGCCAATTTTTAGGTGTATATGATTGTTGACTATCCATAGTCTCGTTAGTTTCTTTTTATGATCCCTGATTCTGGAAAAGAAACTTTGGATTTGTTTTGTCATATAGCATCTTCTTTAATAGCTCTGCTCAACAAGACAAATATCGAGCTCAAACCCAGCGATGTAACACCATCTCATTCTCCAAAGACCTGCCTGCATGGGTCTGGTATCACCTCATGCTAGATCTGTACCAGGCAGGGGGCTGTCTAGGGGACACCCGGGGACTCTTCTATCACTGACTGATCTCAGTCAACCGCTGGAAGGGCCTAGCAGGAGAAGGAGCCCCCAGGTATGGTTTGCCAGCTCTTTCCTCACTCAGCAAGTATTTTGGAAATACCCTTTTGCCCGAGAACTGGTGCTTGGCTCAGGATGCAGGGTACAGGAAACAGACACCTCGCAGGGCTCCTGGTTGAGCATGTTAGCTCTCCTCTCCGAGATCTTTCTGTCCTGAAGGCATCTTTTTCTCTCTCCTAGCTTCCTCCTGCTTTAAGAGGGGGGTAGCAGGTATTTAGTAGTAGGTCCCTGCATCTCCTGTTCCAGGGCACATGTTAAAGCTGTAGAGGAAACGAAACTTTAAAAGAATAAAGGCCCGAGGTTTCTAGAGAAATAAAAATATATGATAAGCAGCAGATATAACATGAGTGCTAAGACCCCGTAAGACGTGTTGAAATGAAAGAATGAAAGTCTGGTCTATTTCTTATTAAAGTTCTATTAGATTCCACTCCGGCGAGAGAGCAGTTAGGATATTCACGCATTGTTCTAAGGCTCACACTTTACGAAAGAAAGTGCCAAACTGAGATACGTCGATCTAAGATTATATAAAGGATCTGGAAACAGTCTCCTTCTACCTGTCCCTCTCCCCAAAGAACTTGAAGAAAATGATTGTTAGAAAGCAAAGTGTATGTCTTTTAACTATGTGGAGGGTTGTGATGTAAAATGAAGGCGTTGGGCTTAAAATTCGTATTGAGTTTTAGCATTAAAGGAGATCTTAGCATATGGTGAGCATCTGATTTTCCAAATTAAGAAACTGAAGAATTGAAAAATTATGTCACAACTGCCTATGGCCATCTGAAGCTGGAAGGGAGGCCCCGATTCCTCCTCCGGGGCCGATGTGGCTGTGCCACGCGCCTGACCGGGCTGGTCGAGGAAGCGCTGATAAGTAATGAGTGCCTGCAACGTGCCCAGCCCCGAGTTAGGAATAGGGGGTGCCAGATAAATAAGGTGTATCTACCCCGTCAATGAGGAAGCTACATTTCTGGAAGAGAGATGACAGAGGATGAGCCAAACCATCGTGGTTAGTATAGTACATACTGTGGCATAGAGGACCCGCGAAGACCACGGGAGGCTAGAGCGGAGAGCTTCTAAAGGTCCTTCACACCTAAGATCGTACGGGGCTGTTTTATGGGAAATACTTTACAATCAAGAACCAGGTTAACCTGAGGCTCCTTCCTGTCCCAGCCAGAAGAATCCCAGAACATTTATCCTCATGTATGATGGTGGCATGTAAATTAGTGTGGAATTTTTTAGGAAGGTCATTCAACAAGTGTGCATACAGAGCCGTAAAAATGTTCACACTGCATTGACCCTGAAAATTTTTTAAAATATGTTTTTATTGATTTCAGAGACAGGAAGGGAGAGGCAGAGAGAGAGAGAAACATCAATGATGAGAATCATTGATCAGCCGCCTCCTGCACACCCCCTACTGGGGATCGAGCCTCCAACCCAGGCCTGTGCCCTGACCGGGAATCGAACCAGCAACCTCCTGGTTCATGGGTCGGTGCTCAACCGCTGGGCCATGCTGGCCAGGCAAACCTGAAATTTTACTTCTGGGACTCTAACCTAAGGCGAAAAATCCAGTTCTTTAAGAATACCAACTGAGCAATGATTTTCCTTTATAGTTATTCATGAAAATGGGGGAAATAGTATATCTTAAATGTCAAAAAGTATAGGAATAGTCAAGTAAATGATAAATCCACTTAATGGAACCCAGCAGAGTAAGGACTATAAAGCTGCTGCTCCTGTGGTACCCAGACCTGGAGTGGTGATGTCACCGGGTGCACAGTCAGGCTCCTCTGAGGTCACGGGGACTCGAGTTTGTCTTCTGACTGTGCCCTGAGCTGTGACTTTAGGAAAAATTACTTTTTCCTCAAAAGCAATTTGCTTATTTCTGATATGGAAATAATTACTCTGTGTGTGTGTGTGTGTGTGTGTAGTAATAATATATATGTATATATACATATATGTAATTTGGATTAGGAATATTAATTAGGAATATTAATTAGGATTATACCTGACAGGCAGTCAACACTCAATAGGTGTTGTCTGGTTTTTATTATTATGTAGTGTTATATAATAAACATTCCTCTTACTATTGCGGTAGGCAGCGTAATTGACCCCAAAGATGGCCATGTCCTAATCCCCGGACCCGGACCTCATATGGCAGAAGGAACTTTGCAGATGTGATCAAGTTAAGGATTTTGAGATGAAGACACTCTCCTGGGTTATCCGGCAAGGCCCAGTCTAATCTCAGGAGTTCTTCAGCTCAGAGAGTCTCTCCTGGGCATCGTCACAGGGAGATAGGACTATAGCAAAAAGGTCAGAGAGAGGCAATGCTGTGAGCTTTAAAGATAAATGACCACATGGGTGGTCTCTGGAAGCCGCAAAGAGAAAAGAAATGGATTCTCCCTGGAGCCTCTAGAAACGGACACAGCCCTGCCCAAACCGTGGCATTGGCCCAGGGAGACCCTAGGTCAGACTTCTACCTCTGTAAGGTAATAAATCTGGGATGTGTTAAGCCACCAAGTCTGTGGTAATTGGTCACAGCGGCAATAGAAAGCCGATACACGTATATTGTATATAATACTGACAGTAGCTGACCTTAATACTACTACTAAGCGGCACTGAGCGCAGACAAACTTACAGCACTTGCATGAAGTCCATGTGTGTGACACTGTCGCTTGGGAAGTTCACACATTTTAATTAAGAATGTTACAGTATTTTGGTATACTGCGCTATCGTTATCTGATTAAATTCTTTAAAAATAAATATTCCTTAAAAAATCCTCAATTCCCAAAAAGCTTGGGTTCATGGTTGCTTAGAGCAAACTTAGAGAGCTCACAACTTAAAGATATCCCAGACAGCAACAGAAAACTAAGAGAGCCTTCATTCCTGACCAGTGTTCATAATACATGACTCCTCTCTGCCCTAAAAGGGAGCCTGGGGCATGTTGTCTGCGATCTAAGACGACATTTATTCTGTTTCAGAAATCTTCTGTGAGCTTAGTCACAGCTTAGCACTCAAGACGTTATGCCTACATCAAGTTTAATGTATATAAAACGTCTTTCAAAATAGAAAAAAGCATCCAGACGGGGCAGTATTCTAAAATGGATCTTAGCGTATTGGGTGCCGACTGTGAGGGGCGAGAGCGTGTATCTGGCCTCTCTCCTTTGCCAGGTTACACCGTGAACTCTGCCACCACCCCCGGAGGACAGGTGCTGTACCTCGCGGGCCAGCCTCGGTACAACCACACCGGCCAGGTCATCGTCTACAAGATGCAAGGCGGGGCCGTGAGCATCCTCCAGACCCTCCGGGGAGAGCAGGTGAGCTTGGAAGTCATGGCTGTAAATCACTCCGTCCATACTCTGTGTAGAGTTAACTGCTTGTTGTCCTAACCTTAAAAAATAACAGTAGCCCATATTCGACCTCACCTGAGATCAGGGTGTGCATTAGGCCCTTGGAGGCATGGAAAGTATCTGTGTCTTTGGCCTCAGGAATATTTCAGTCAGATGGGGTGGAGCTAAGATGTACGAAGATGAAAATACGGGTGTACAAATATTCATACAAGGAAAGAGCAAAACCGTTAGGAAGCGAGGCTGACACTGGCACAAGCAGTAATTCAGAAGGTGGAGAGATTGTTTTTAGCTCAGATTGGTGCAGAAAGTCTTCGTGAGAGACAAAACCTGGGCGCGTCCAGAGGGGAAGCGAGAATGCAGACAGGTGGGAAGAGCAGGGGACAGGCCAGGTAAGGAGAACTCGGTCCCTGATGTGTGAGGCGTCCGGTGACAGACTGAAGGGTTAGGGGTTGTCTCTTGGTTGTAACCGGAAATTGTTCGTAACATGTAAAATCGGAAAATTCTCATTAAACAACACTGAATAGTAAAGGAGTTTAAGAAGTTACACACGCAATATGCAAACATACGTATAGGTAAAAATATTTTTTAAAGTATTTTTAAAACAAACACTTTTGCTATTGCTGATTATAACTGAATCATAATACTTTGGGTCATTTTTATTCCTTTTTTATAGTTTTCTGTATTTTCCAAGTGTTCTATAATGAGAATTTGTTAACTTTACTCTGTAATCCTCATGGGCCAAGGGGGGTTCTCCCTAGACGCCCCCCCCATCAGCACCATGCGTGCACACACACACACGCACGCACATGCACACACACACGCACGCACACACACACATGCACGCACGCACACACACACGCACGCGCACACACACATACACACGCACGCACAGCACTGGGAAGGGAAGGCAGCCTTCCTCCACCAGGGGTCCCCAGCAGCCCCGCGGGAGCTCAGCTCGGGTGCCGGGAGGCAGAGGTCAGGCAGGTGAAGAGCCAGCGTCCGTCAGAGCACCCTGGACGCATGGGCATCGCCGGCAGGTTCCCGCTGAGGGCGTGCAGCTGTGGGCGTCACTGGCCTCCGGGAAGCCCAACGTATGTCGCCTGTGTCAGATACAAATACAGTGTTCGAGTCAGAGGTTAATTTTACCAGTCGTGGCAATCCTACAGGTTTCCAGGGGGCAGAGAGCAAGCCAAGGGCAGACTTTCACAGACCAGGTGGGAGGGTTTCATTAGCCCTTTGTCACTTGTGCAGTTGGGAAGACACGTCGACAGTAAAAACAGGGTATTGCTGGAGCTCAAGGGTGAGGCCGGAAGAGCCTGCAGTGGCATAACCACAGTGAAGTGGCGCAGGGGCCTGGTGGCCTCAGCGAGGAGGGGTTAACGGGGGGGAACGAAGGCATCGTAGGTCCCTTATCACCGTTAATGGTCTACAAGCAGGAAGCGTGCACCTTTGGGAAAGAAATGCTTGTGGAAGCCTGAGGGGAGCATCACAGACGATTTAAATTGTGAATGACTTCATTTCAAGCCTGGAATCTGGGAGAAATACGGCACCAGGATTAGACTGTCAGCAACTCAAGCAGTTCAGATGTTTTCACCCACTTGGAAGTTGGTCTTAGGCATGTTTTCTGTAACAGTGAACACAATTCCAATGGCTGCAGGTGCCAGGTGGGCAAAGTCCATGAATCAGCTGCCGAACAGGAGACTATAGGAATCAGTGGGGACCACGGGCCGTCTGAAGGCTTAGCTCCCACTCTGCTCCGGGCGGCTGCAGCCATACGGGAACGAAGGCCCGAAGTTGCCAGACCTTACAACATTTTAGTCGCGTTTTTGATGAATTTAACCTTTAAAAAACCCTTTAAACCCTTCATAAGCCTGAGAAAAGGGTATTCAGAAGTCAGTGTCTAGCAATTGTCTAAACGTCTAGCCGTGTCTGGACGTGTAGACTTGGAGCCTTGAGAGGGAGGAGAGAACGGATCTTCAGTTTGTGGCAGGGGAAGAGCTGGGAAGGACTGTGTAGGGTGAGAGAAAGGGGCGGAACGCAGGTCTGAGCCTAGTGGAGCCAACACGTCGGGCTGGGGGAAGGGAAGGGAGCCAGCAAAGGTGGGAGGGAGGGAAGGGCAGTCCAGTACATGGCAGAACCCAAGGGCAAAAATAAAGTCATGGACGCGGAGACAGCAAGTGTGAATAAGGACTTACCAAGAGCGTCAACTCTGGGGAAGGCTGGCGCATTTAGACAATGAGGTCTGAGTCCCTGCGTTTCCCTAAGATACATCCCTACCTTTAAAGAGATGACACATGGCTGCAAGGGGGCGGTCCCTGCAATCCCATCATAGTTTTCTGTCCCCCACAGCTGCTGGGACAAGACCAAGCCCTTTGGTTACGCAGACAGTCTCTAGGCCTGTGGGGTGAAATATGCACTGCCCCGTATTCCCACACGTTCCGCTCCTCCTGTATTTCAGTGCATATTTTCACATCGCTGCATCTCAGCATACCTGAGGCCTTTCCGAATGCCTTCCATTGCTGAGCTCATTTCGTTTCCTTTGAAAAAAAATAAAAATCATTGCAGTATTACTGACCGTTCCTGATTTGTGGAGAAGGAATAGGTTGGGGGAAACCTAAAGGAAGTCATTTCTCTTAAGCTATGGACTCTAACAGCCGCTCCTCCTCCTGGAGGGACCTGACGGGCCGTTGGTCTCAGGCGAGAGCCGGGAAGAGCTGTCAGGTGGCACCTGCTTCCACAGCTCCCCTCCTCTGCCGGCCGAGTCCCAGACGCCCCTGGGTTGGTGTCGGTAGAAGAAAGGCAGCTTTTAGCTTCCCGGGGAATTCGGAGGTTCACCACACGGCTGTTTGGTTTGGTTCTGTCTTGTCCTAGATCGGGTCCTACTTCGGCAGTGTCCTGACAACAGTGGACATCGATAAAGACTCTAGCACGGACCTGCTTCTGGTGGGGGCCCCCCTGTTCATGGGAGCCGAGAAGGAAGAGCAGGGGAAGGTGTACGTGTACGCCCTGAACCAGGTAACGGGCGCGGGGCTTCGGGGAACCAGGACAGTCTCCTCCGTTCTTCTAATTTCAAAGAGAGGCCGTGGCGCTAGGTTTCCACTCACTTTGGAAAAAGGGGCAGAGAGGGTTTCAGGGCCCACTCCCACCTCGGTCTCTAAATGAACGTTTCGGGTTCTAACACAGACGTTCAAACCGCTAGGGCTTTTCTGCTTTGAAAATGTGAACTATTCTTTTTAAACAGGATAAATATAAGTCTCGCTACACTGCCCAGTGAACTCGCAGGCAGCCAGTCCTGAGCTCTGCCCGGGGTGTGGGGAGCCTTGGCACCCGATGGGGTGGGCTGGGTGAGCCGGGGGTTGGACAGACGGGCGGGGAACTTCAGGCAAGGACACCGGACATTTCCAGCAAACTCCTGAGGTCTGGGAATACTTCGCTGGGCTGGAGTGAGATTCTGTTTCCCACCCCTGACTTGAGACATTATTTGTTAGGTGAGATTTCTTCATTAAAATAGGTGTGTTTTGTTTTGTGTGGGTTTTTTTTGGTTTTGTTTTGTTTTGTTTTTGCTGCTAACAGCAAAGTCAATATTCATCTATTTGGTTTTTAAATTTTAAGAGTCTCTCCGCATTAATTATTTAACTCTCGAATGATATGCTTTTCTTTCCACCCTTTTTGGGGGGTCTTCCTCCTGCCAGCTTTTTGGGTCCTGTACTGTTTTGCCCCCTTTCCCAGGAAAGTGTGTTCCTGCCTCTCCATCGTTGCCAGTACTTTCTGGCCTTCCTGAGTTTTTGGCTTTTTCACTCCGGATAGGTTTGGGAAACGTTTGCTTTCGAACAGAGTAGACCTTCTCTTTAAGGGGAACCTACAGAGGCTTTTCTACGAAGCACAGTGCTGGGCGAAGAGAGCACAGCCGCGGGAACTGAGGGTCTCAGACTCCAGTTCTGCTTTANCTTCTCTTTAAGGGGAACCTACAGAGGCTTTTCTACGAAGCACAGTGCTGGGCGAAGAGAGCACAGCCGCGGGAACTGAGGGTCTCAGATTCCAGTTCTGCTTTAGAAAGAGGCTGGGGGCCGCGCCTCGGCCGGTGGCATCGAAAGAGAGCCCATTAAAACCCCGTCCCCTCGCCCACACTCCTGCCGCCCGTCCTTTAAAAGCCCTGGCCTCGCTCTCAGAGGGCCCGGCCTCCGAGGCATTTCACCACCGCACCGCCGGTGTGGGAACGTCGCGCGTGGTCTGGCCCGCGCCCGATTCCGCGCCGCGCGGCCTCAGCGCCGGACGCGTCCTGCTTGT